TAAAAAGGAAGCCATATCCTCATGATAAATGGAAAACCTGGATCAATTGTTCATAAACAGGCAGAATCATCCAAATAAATACAGTGGAAATAATACTGCAGCCACTGCCTTGTAGCTAAGGCAGAACACTGTGAGCCTGAGGCCTGCTCTTAGTGTTAACAAAGAAGAACAAAGAGAGGTGTTGGAGACACATCTGGGCCCAGTGGCTCCTTGGGGTTATCAGAGGGACTAACAGGGAATAAGCTCCCCCTTCTGGAAGTTGGTGTGATCAGAGGCTCCCCAGTCACAGCCACTCAGGACAAGCCCAGATGGGTAGATGGAGATGTCACTGGTGTCATGCCATAGAGCTGCCCTTCCCTTAGACTCTGAGTGTGGCAGACCTGGAGAGGCGGAGGCGACTGGCTCCATCGGACCTCCCAGGAGGCCTGACTTTGGACCTAAGCTTGAAACAATACACAGAGAGGGTTTGCCAGGAGAAGGGAGCAGGGCAAAGGGAACCTGAGGCAGAGAAAGCAATGTTGCATAGTATGTGAAAAGGCTGCCATGAAGAAACAGGTTAGAAATTTTAGCACATGGGGTGCCTGGGTGGCTCACTCAGTTGAGCAATTGACTCTTGATTTCGGCTCAGGTCGTGATCTTGTGATCATGAAATCGAGCCTTGCATCAGGCTCCTCGCTAAGTGTGGATCCTGCTTGAGATTCTCTCCCTCTCCCTCTGCCCCTCTCCCCTCTCTAAAATTAAAAAAAAAAAAAAAAAAAAAAAAAAAAAAAAAAAAAAAAAAAAGCAAGCAGAATCAAATGCAATCAAAGGGTGGAGGTTATTTGGTAGCAGCTCCTCAGTCAGTACAAGGAAATACCTCTCTAACAATGGAGCAGGCAGCCTTGGTGACCGGTCACTGATTTTTTTTGGCTGTGTGGTAGAAGGCGTTTGGTAATGAAACCACAGGAAGCCAGGACCCATGGACAGAAAGGGGCTGGCCCTCCTGGTCTAGGGTGAGAATCTTCACCAAATTCTAGATGTTTCTGGTCCCCTCTGCTGAGGAGAAGAAGGGAGGGCTGACCTGCAGCCTCCTTACACTGGTCTGACACTTGTAAGAGGGTTTTCCCATCTCCCTCCACTTAAGTGGGGCAAGAGGATGAAACCAGGCAGCTCCAGGAGCAAGCTCCCACCCCTGACCATCTCTCCTGGTCAGACAGATCTCCCTTCCCATGTCATATGAACCACAGTGTGGCAGCTTACTGGAAGTGCAGCTTTGAAACCCTAACCCCATCCCAACCCCAGCTAGGGTGACCAACTCATTTCAGCTTCCCCTAGACTTTCCCAGTTTTAGCACCAAAAGTCCTCCATTCAGAAAACCCCTCTGTCCCAGGGAAACCAGGAGATTTGATCATTCTAATTGTGGCCCTATCCCTCTCCTCACAATACATACCTACTCCATCCCAGAACCTTCTCCTTGCTTAACTAACTCCATTTACCCTGCTTGAATAAGTAAGGCACAGGGGTTCTCTTTGTGACACTCAGTAACATGCAATGCTGGTTAACTGAGCACCTGTCATGAACGGGTCCCTGTCCCACGACTGTGCATTCTGAGCGGCAAACCAGAGAGATGCTGAATGACAGTTCTACAAATAAGGAATTAGACCGTTTCCAATTACTGTGGAATAAATTACCCTCAAAATCTAGCAACTTGGAACAATAAACAATTATCATCTCACATGTCCAAACAGGTCAGAAATTCAGGAGTGAGTGGTCAGCTGGACTGGTTCTGGCTCAGGGTCTCCCACAATGCTGCAGTCAAAATGTCCGCTTTGGGGGGCTCCTGGCTGACTCAGTCACTAGAGCATGCAACTCTTGATCATGAGGTTATGAGTGCGAGCCCCATGTTGGCTGTAGAGATTAAATAAATAAACAAACAAATTAAAAATAAAAAAGATGTCAGCTTGGGCTGTGGTCATCTGAAGGCTTGACTGGGGCTGTTGGATCTACTTCCAAGGTAGATTGCTCACACGCCTGACAAGTGATTGCTCTGTGTTGGCTTGGGACCTCAGTTCCTTGCCCCATGGACTTTTCCAGGCACTTCTTGGGTGTCTTTACCACATAGCAG